TTCGAGCCCCAACCCTGGGCCTGGCTCTAGGGTGGGGCCCTGGCTGCGCCATGCCGGGCGACGTCACGGTCCTTGATTTTAATCTATTCATAAAGGGCTTTTGAACTGCTCTTAGTCTGACCTGTCACCCAGGACCTGTTTGCCTTGGGAGACCCTACCAGGGACATATAGCCCCCAACAACATAGCTCCTAGGATCACTCGGGTACTCAAACCCCTCCACCACAATAAGGTGGCGGTTCAAGGAGGGGACAACAACACACACCTATCACACAAAATTTCACAGCTCTCTCGGTTCCCATCAGGCCTTGCTGGATGCAGGTTATGACCCCAACTACATGCTCCATCCCTGGGTTCGTCGTAGCTATGATGACGAGAGGAAGTCGGCGCTGTTCTTTGCTGTCTCCAATAACGACATACCATCAGCCAAACTGCTGCTGGAGGCTGGAGCCATGCCCAACCAAGACCCAGTCAAATGTCTACAGGTGTCTGTGTGTGTAGTAACATGAGTGATAATAATGTTGGCCAATCTGATGGCCCACCACTTTGTTGGTCCCTGAGGAACAATCTACAGAAGACCCTGTTGTTGATACTGTGTCTCTGTCTTAAAGGTTGCACTACATCAGGGCAATTATGAGTTGATCAACCTGTTGCTGAGGTTTGGAGCCAACGTCAACTACTACAGCAGAATTAATACAACCCACTTCCCCTCAGCTCTGCAGTACGCTCTCAAAGACGAGGTAAACTGTAGATCTTATTAATAAAACATCTTACAAAAACATTTCTTCCAGATGTTCTTCACAGACGCTACTTGACTCAGCAGCTTGAGTTTTACTCATCGTTTCTTAAAGCACAGGAGTCACTTTTTGGAGGATAGTCTCACTTGTATTTACAGTGTTCTCCGTTTTGTCCGCTAGGTGGTACTTAGGATGCTGTGTAACTATGGTTATGATGTACAGCGCTGCTTCAACTGTCCCTACGGCAACAACTCTCACATCCCTGAAAACTACGAGGGATGGACTGACAGTGTGATCAAAGACGCTATGGTAATGAACAGGGCTGAGTCTACATTACTGCTCAGGACAAAAGCCTAACCTACCTGATGAATTACACAGCTGTAATCCACTGACACAGAATCACTGATAAGTGTGGTCAAAATGTTTTGTTGCACTTGTAACCACACCCAACAGTGATGTCACACAGTCCTGGATTAACCCTGTACATCATTGCAGCAAGGTTAGATATTAAACCACTGGAGGTCAGCAAAGACCTGATTTCCAGAGAGTGTTTAGCTACTCTTTAAGCTCTGTCTGCCTGTCTGTCAGTGCAGTTCTGTGAGGTGATCACCGTCTCCTGGCTGAAGCACCTCTCAGGATATGTTGTTCGCATCCTGTTGGACTACGTGGATCATGTGACTTTGTGCGCCAAGCTGAAGGCGGCTGTGATGGAGCAGCAGCAGTGGCCAGACATCTGCAGGCTGCAAGGTGAATTAACTTGATCAATCATGTCCTAATAGTGGTAACACACATGGATGGATTACTGAATAGGCCTATCAGGCGCAGGCCCAGGGGTTGTAAGGTCAATCATTTGACCTAAATAGACACAAAACAACCACAAAGAGACATGCTACTAGTAACACACACACACAAAAGACAACAAATAGTCACAGAGTGCTTTGAAAGAAAGACAAATGACCACAAAGACTCAAAGTAACTACAGAGGCCAAAAATATTACAAAGAAACACAAAATGACTACAAATAAATGCAAAATTAACAAAAAGACGCAAAGCAGACAGTCACAAAAATACAGCAAAGACACAGAATGCCTGTAAATAAGTGCAGAATGACCACAAAGACCTGAATCAAGTCCAAGTAGATGCACAAAACTACTACAGACACATAAAACAATTAGAAAGAGACACAAAATGAGCGCACATAGAGAAAAATGACCACTGCTGCTCCATTGTAGGAGGGTGGGAGCCCTTTACAGGTCTGTGCTCAGGGGCCCACTGTCTCATAATTCATCCATGACAACAGGAACAACAGATATAGACAAAGGAGAAACAAGAACACAACAAGTGAAACCTTTTCTGCTCCATTTTTTCCTCCTCCTCTTTAGAAAACGTTCGCTGTCTGCAGCATCTCTGTCGACTGCGGATCCGTCGTTGTCTCGGTCGCCTTCGTCTACGATCACCCGTCTTCATGAGCTTCCTGCCGTTGCCGGGGCAACTGAAGGACTACATCCTGTACCGGGAGTATGACCTGTACAGCCGGCAGAGCAGCAGGCTGGGAGACTCAGGAGTGAGCAGAGAATCCCAAGAAAGGAGTTAAATATGAACACAATGTCTGCAGATGTTCACGATCACACTTTAAAGTCACTTTTCAGATTATGCACCTTTTTAAATAAGGTAGTTTTATTTTTATTGCATTGTTCTATCAAAAATGTATCAATTCTTCCTGTAAATCAGTGTGGTGATTTTCTATATATTGATGAAGCATACTGTAAAAGCAAACAGTATCTGAAAGTGAACTTCGAGGATACAACCAACTACGAACCAAAGTCTGTTTGATAAAAGGATAACTTATAAAATCACTTCAAATTTGTTTCAGATATCATGGCGTCAGATTTTAATTAGCATTTGTATTTAATTCCTAATTTTTACAATAGAAAGGTGCATTAGTTTGTCTGGACTGCTTTTGAAGATGGAATTTTTTAAAATTATTTTATTGTCTCAATTTAAATTTTTGTTTGTTTGATTGGTTGGTGACATACAATGAGTTGTCAGTTTATTAAGTACACTGAGATAAATCTAATGTAGTCTAATACAGCAGCGCTGCACTAACAAGGTGTTCAGTTTTTTGTTTTACAGAGCTGTTGATTCAACTGTGGGATCATTGTGGAGGCTGTACTTTGTACTGCTCCTGTTTTCATTCCCTCATTTGTACAATTTCAATTTGATGTAGTTACAAAAGTCTTGTCAACAGTGTTGTTCGACTGTTCAATTATGAAAATCCAGACGAAAGAAGAAGGGAGCTGACGGAGATATTGATCATCAGCAGTCAAAGTCAAAGAAACTTTAATTATCCCCGAAGGGCAATTCAATACAGAAACATGTTGGTCAAAGTCCTCCTGATTAGCATTCATCCATCCATCCACAACATCCATCACTGATGAAGGCTACATAAATGTGTTCAAAGTAGGGTAATGGGTTGTTGCATTAATAGTACAGCAATTTACAGTGCATTTCTATTTTGATTTATTGTATTAGTAAACTATCAATATGGAAAACACAATAATCACACACACACCTGGATCCCCCAGTCCTGACTCGGTGACTTACATTTATTCGGACTCATTCAACATGTCCCTCAGCTTGTGAATAAACTAATTTAATTAAAAAGTAAACTTGATGTAGAACAAACAGGCTGAACAGTGTTGAAACTTAAAACCTAGTAAAAGAGGTTACTGCAGGTGGTTGTGTGACAATGTCCTGTGTTTACGACAAAACGATGAAATGAGGAGAGTCACAGTGAAGTCACAGATTTTATTTCGACCCCTGATGTTCTAACACCTGTTTTTAAGAAAAATAAAATAAGCTTTAAATGTCACACACTGATCTGGTCTTTCTGCTAAGTCTCCACACAACAGATGTGGACCACACAAAGCAACAAGTCCCAGAGGTTACTCAGACTGCGTTTAATAACCCATGACCCAGGTTCAGCTCCCGCCTCCCTCTGTGGGAAAATCTGAGCTCTCTCTCCCACTTCTGTCGTCATTGTAACTCAACTATGCAGACTTCTGCTGTTGTATGGACTCCTCTGTCCCCACTAGGAGTCCTGACTGTCTGCTGAACATACAGAAAAGCTCCCAGTCTCATCGTGCTGCTGGTAGTGTTATTCTAAAACATCAACACCACTAAAGTTTAGCAACATTATGTAGAAGTACCTGTTGTCACACATGCATGTGACTGACTGCCTGCTGGTGATGTGCATTCAGACTGCTAGCATCCTGTGATTAGCATAAATGATCTAACATACAATAAGCTTTTACCCACCAAGTGTCAGGGTTTTTAGCCAGATTTAGTGTTGTTTGCTCTTGCACACAGTCTCTAAAATTTTGCCAGAAAAAGACCATAAACAATGTTGAGTCCAGCCAGAGATCACTGTTGCATGCATTTCCTGCCACTTCCACGCTGTTGACCATGCTAAAGGAAAAGTCATAGAACTGTCAGATTCATTAGGAGTCATTGTCTAGGCATCAAGAATGTCTGTACCATACGTTATAAAGCCAGTAATGTGGGTAGATATCTCACATGATAAAAAGTTAGAGCTGATGGTGCCACTGGACCAGCAAAGATTCATCCTCTGGTGACCATGAATATTTGTACATTAGAACCAGTTGATCAGTACTGTCATCCTTAGAGCTGCTAACATGGCTAACATGCATAAAAGCCCCAGAAATACTCGGAAAAAGTATGAAACGTAAAATATTTGACTTTTTTCATCCAGATAAAATGAAGTCTTTTTTTTTTTACTTTTTAAGTCATAATTATGATATGAACATCTGATCTACTTCAAATTTACAAGATACTACTAGAGTTAGACAGTTAATAAGTCACAATTAGGCAATACAGTGTTGAAAACTGGATTTACTAAGACAGAACTTGTTCTAATGTTACTGACATTCAATGACATGTGCGTAGCTGACGTCTGTAGAAAATGTATTGTACAACAAACAAACAAAACTGAAACAAAGCAGTGGTGTTAGAAGAGTCTTCTGAAGTGATAACACCAAGAGGATGTGATTTTAAGTTCCTGATTTTCTACAACCCGATGACCTGAGCCACAGTTTTCTTGTGTACCATCAGCAGCTGCCATGAATGGATCACTGAATGGGCCTACTGAGCACAGGCCCCGGGGGCCAAGGAGG